GAATTTAAACAGGTTACTATCCACCCCATCATCCAGATCGCTGATGAAGAAATTGAACAGCGCAGGCCCCAGGACTGAGCCCTGGGGGACTCCACTACCCACCTCGCCCCAGGTCGAATATGACCCATCCACCACCACCCTCTGAGTGCGACCCCTCAGCCAATCTGCAATCCATCTGACTGTGTAGGCATCGATGCCACAGTCACCTAGTTTTTTAACTTGTTTTCTGTTTCTCTGCATGAATTCAGTTTTGGGGGAGGAGTCACCTATGTTTTACACTCGGAAAGCAACATCTAACAAAAGTTAATGCTTTATACTTTGCATATCTTGATGCTTCAACTGAATTTTGCTGCAAGTTATTGGAATCCTGCCTAATTCCTTTTCAAATCTGTTATATAAAACTAGTTATCTGGAGGAATGTTAATGAAACAAAGCAGCTCTTTAGGTATCTACTAGGTTGAATAGATAAGGTCTGGGGAATAAACCTTAAGTTTATTGGCAGAAAGAATATTCAATTTTTTTTTAATAATCATACCCTTTTTAAATGGCAGAAGTTTCATAGTAGCTAGGGTCAGGAGAGACCTGAACAGATCATCTAGCCTGACCCCCTGCCACAGGCAGGAATGAATGCTGGGTTCACAAGACCCCAGACAGGTGATCATTTAACCTCGTTTTGAATTTGCCCAAGGTAGGGGTGAGAACCACTTCCCTGGGAAGTTGGTTCCAGATTCTGGCCACCCTAACCATAAAATATTGCCTCCTGATCTCTAACCTAAATCTATTCTCCATCAGCTTATTACCGTTGTTCCTTGTCACCCCAGGTGGTGCTGGGGAGAATAAGGCTCTTCCTATTTGCTCATGATCTCCCCTGATGAGTTTATAGGCAGCCACCAGGCCCCCCCTCAGCCTCCTCTTGCCGAGGCTGAACAGGTTCAGGTCCCTCAGTCTCTCCTCATAGGGCCTGTCCTGCTGCCCTCTCACCAAGCGGGTGGGTGGCCCTCCTCTGAGCTCTCTCCAGTCTTTCCCTTAATTTGTATATTTAAAAATGTTTTAGTTAATTTGCATTATCCTACTGTAGTATTTGTGATTTAAAGGAGCATAATAATAATTTTGTTTGCAGTTTCAATAATAATGAATTATTTTTTTTACAATAGCCAACTACTCTACCAAGCCAAGGGAGGCCTGATTCACCAGTTTATGCTAATTTACAAGAACTGAAAATATCTCAGTCTGCACTCCCACCTTATCCTGCAAACCCACCAATTCAAGTTAATGGAGAGTGGGAAACTCATAAAGACACTACAGGACGCTGTTATTACTACAATCGAGGAACACAGGAAAGAACCTGGAAACCTCCACGTTGGACCAGAGACACAAACGTAAATAAAGGGGATCCCCAGAGCCAACTAGATCATGAGGTATTCTCTATTCTTGATGCAAACAGATTGCAAGTGTGTGCTGTTTTGCTCTTTGGTTATGCTGGTAAAGCTTTAACACTCAAAGATGTGCTTGTTTTGAAGTAGAGAAGCATGTTGTTCTTCTGTAGTTAGATGTGCATGGTAAAACTTACGTGAAGTCTATTTTTTTGCTGGACTCCTTTGTCCCCAGATCAGAAGTGAAATAAAACCTAAGGCCTTGTGCCTCTCATTCCATTTGGGTACCTGTAGAAGCTGTTTTCTTTAGTCTTGGCTCCCTTTTTTGGAAGAAATAAACATATGAATGATCTCTTATTAAAGTAACAGGATTTTCTCTGGGGTGAGGAAGACAGCATTTCCATTCTTGTTTCTGAAACAAGGAAGCTAACATTCCCTTTTCCTTTCTTCTTTATGAGAATACCTCTGGAGGAAGGATCTTGGAAGCTGAGTTAACATGTACATTTCTGGTCTAAAGATGCACATATTTAATTCTTTTTGCTCTTGATTTGAATCTCATCCTCCCACCCCACTGGAGATTTAAAAAAAAAAATGCCACCAATATTTGGCCAAATAATTTTGGCACCTTTTTCTGTGTTGTGCATCATCTACCTTTTCCCCCAACTGTTGTAAGTTTTTTCTCTTTAACGGTTCTGCAATAAAACAATGTAGGTCATAATCTCCTAAAACTATACTGATGCAGGCTGACATGCAGGTAGCGTATAGATTTTTCCGGCACCTCACATTTCATTCTCTCAGAAGATGCCACTGCTGTAAATGTGGCATCCTCAGTCTATGTAGTTGGTGGTGGCATGCTAATTAGTTAGCATAGATTTCCCTTTTTCCTTATATACCACCAAAATTCAGTGCTAACAGGATCTGAAAGTGATCTATCAATATTACTTGTATAAGGCAGCTGAACTAATCCAGGTGTCAAGGTTTTGTTAGAGCTCCTTAGACACAGAAGGTGCATGTGTAGAGAAACTATGGGGAAGGTGATTTCCATATTTTGGGGGGGGAATGGGGGAAGATGTATAAGGGTTATTGGGAAAGAAAGTAAAAGTTAGACTCCATGGTAGTAAGATTGTACTGCCAAATGAATATTTAGAATGTTTATAGAACTTTTATTGGCCATGACTTGTAAGGAAATACAGAACTGTGTATATTGCTAGATTGTAGTTAGAAAATGAGATTAAAACCATATTTAATTTTGTGGGGGGTGTTTTGTATAGCATGAATTACATACACAACAAAACAGAAGTAGTTTTAGATGTTTGGTTACTAGTTAGACAGGTTTCATGTCTTAATAAATATACAAACCTAAATCTTTTATATAATTCAAAGACATTTTTATAGAATGGAGCTAAAAAGAAAATAGTTGCACACTTGTGTCCTACTACTTTTCATAAGGGTGTGTAGTTTTGCATGCTGGCTGAATTGGTATCCAGAAAAGCTATGCTAAGTGCAGAGTAAAATAATTCCTGCTTGTATCTATTTATGTAAGATTATGAATTTTATTTTTGAAATTGGAATTATTGTATACATCTGTTACAGTTAAAAGTGTGTAAAAGATGTCTTACTTCTAAATTAGGAGAGAGAGATTCTCTTATGTTCAGAATTTTAAATCTTTCGTCATGCTTGACTTTATAAGAGATGGAATTACTGCGCTGAATATTAGAAACAGCATGAATTGTATGTCATTTTAAAAACATCTCATTGTTTGTCAGTACATATGGTGGTGTACGTAGTTTTTTATTTAACAGCTTAAAAAAATTAATCTGTCCCTAGTTTGAAATTTGTAGGAACTACTAATCTCCAGACCAACTGCCAAATGAGTACCGAGCATGTTTACATGTGAGTTTTAATGTGCATGAAAATAGGCTAATGCCTATTAAAGTATTGCCCAAAAAAAATGTGCTTTCGCTAATGTGCACGAAAATAGGCTAATGCACCTTTTTCTAGTACCTCACAATGAAGGTATTAAAATTAATGCACATTAGCAAAAGCACATTAATAAATGCGTAGAAGTGCCTATGGTATTGTCTGGGGAAGGGCTTGCTTTTGAATTACACAAATAATTAATCTATACCTGATATGGTGAACAAAGGGCTGGCTAGGTCTACAGAGATACATGTATAGATCAGGGGTGGGAAAAATTCAGTCCATAGGCTGGATCCAGCCAACCAGGCAAAATTTTTTCATCCAGCCTGTGGTCTCCCACCAATTAATTGTACCCCACGGAGCCTGTACCCTTCAATTCCATCCTCATGCACACAAGGGCCTCAACCCTGGCCAGCATGCACAGCTTCTAGGCAGGGCTGCTGCAGCCACTGTTGCAGCCACGAAGAAACCTGCTCAGTTTTTCTCTGGTCTCCAGTGGCAGTTCCTCGTAGTACCGGTTGTGATGCTTGCTCCATGCAGCAAGTAGGAAAGTGGTGGCAGGTGTTGGGGAAGCATGGGGTTGGGGTTGGTGGGAGCATGGAGTCCGGAGTCTGGGTTGACTTGATTCTTTTGTGCAAGACTTACCATGGCTTACGTGCAGCTCCCATGACTTGCCTACCACTTGAAGCACAGCTTCCCCCGATGGCATGCAACTCCCGGGAGCTGCATGTGAGCGGTGGCGAGCCCTCCACAATAGATGCAGTCTGGCCTGGCTCTGCTCCTTGCCGCCACGTAAGCTCCTGAAACTGGCTGGAGCCATGTGTTTCTGGGCAGCTGTGTCTACATGGGCCATGAGCACCCTGAGGACCTGCTGCTGCTGCTGGTAGTGGGGGCTGTGTGCCATTCAGGTGGGGGGTATGTGGGGGAATCCCACCCTCCCTCACATCCCACAAACCCCAGCTACCCACACATACAGCCACACCCTCTCAAACTTCATACCCCCCCATCCACAATATACAAAAGTAAGATTTTATTTCTGAGCTATTATGCAACCACCTCTATATGCAGTATACAAACACAGATAAATTGGGACTTTTTTTTTCTGCAATAAAATTAAAATATTTTATAGCAGACGTTTGACTTAATATGATTTCTTTTCTTCCTTGGTTCCAAGATGGCAACCCTATCCCCCTGCAAAAGGAGTACTTTTTGGGGCAAGGGGAAGGACTTGTGGTGGCAACGGTCAGAGGTTAGGGGCCGGACTTCCAGTCCCTAGATGGTGACCAGGGGCTAAGGTACCTGTCAAGGGGCAGAGCTACAATTCTGACCCTCGACAGTTCACCAAAACTCAGTAAGGAGCCCTCTGGTCAAAATGATTGCACACCCCTGGTATAGATAGATAAAATAACTTCTTATTAGCAAGTTCTGGGGGCCTGTTACAGTGGGTCCTTAGTTTTCTTGGACATTTAAAAGCTACCTCCAGATGCTCAAAGTAGGTGTGGCCGCCAGGCTTCAAATATCCGTCCTCAAGCAACCTTTGCCCTGATGGCAAACGTGGGGCATTCTCCGGGCTCGTGTCTTAGACCTAGTAGGTGTCTCCTCCTTGACTCGCCTTCCCTGTTCTCACCTGCCATGACTTCTTGGTTCTTCAGTGGACGAGGTTGGTCGTCGGGTTTGCTAGTGGCCTGCGGTTCGCCTGGCAGTCATCCATGGGGCTCTGCCATCCCTACACCCCGGCCTCACGCCCCGTCGTGTGCGTTGTTCCTCTGTCATCTTCGGCCCCTCTCGTGGCGTCGCGTCCCCCTGCTTATCACCTGTTACTATGGTTCTCCTGTGCGGGCCTGCTCTCTGTGCTTCCCCTATCTCCACCCCTTCTGCCGGAGAAACAAAGAAAATCTCTGAGGCTCTCCCTTGGCCCCATTCCTCGGGGTACTTGCTATGCCCTCTACTCCTCAACCCCTTCACACGGGGCAACAGAACAGAAAATCATTAACAAAACATTAAATGGTGGACCACTTCCTAGCATGGCTACACCCCACTCCCTCGCTTCTCTTTCCCCTTACTCTAGCTCAGGGATGCCTCTCTTGCTACCCGCCATCTCCGTGATTTCCTCCCGCTCTGTCATTGACCCGGCCAGGACTGGCGGTGATACCTGCCCGGATTGTAACCCCCTTGGTGCTTTTCTCTGGGTCCTCCACTTCGGCCTGGCTCCCCTTTCTCCCTGGTTGTCCCAGTACTCCCACCTGGGATCTCTTCAAGCCTCTGGTTCGTTTCTGGGTCTTCCTTTGAGTCTGGGGTGTCTGCTGCTCATTCACCTTTCCTCTCCTGCTCCTGGTGGGACGCTCTGTCCCGCGCCGCTTTGGTCCGTCCCCGGCTTGTCGGGCTTGGTGCGCCTCGTGGGGAGGGTCCTCTCCTCTCTGTGGCAACTGTATCCCCTTTTCCCTGCTGCTGTCTCCTTCCTCTCCTTCCGCACCATCAGCCTCCATTTTTATCCCTGCCAGCCGGCGCTTGTGGCTGATGTCACCAGCTGGCCTTAATTGAATAAAGAAGTGGCTGACGAGCCGTGTGGGTTCTTCCTTCCGCCCCTGCTGCTCTGTCTCCTGTTCCCTGTAAGTACTTATTATTATCTTTTTCCTCTCCCTTCCTGGGACAGTAGGCAAAACACCTACTCCAAACAGGTTTTCAGATCCTGTTACTTGAAAGTGTTTTTTTAACAGTATTTCTGGCCCCCTCCCACCCCCCTACACTCACTCACTCACTCACTCACTCACTCACTCACTCACTCACTCACTCACTCACTCACTCACTCACTCACTCACTTGTATTTTTCCTGGCTGTGCTGCTGTTTACTGCTGTTGAGCCCTTTCTGTGTATGGATATTTCTATCAGAATGCAAATAAGACTGGGAGGGGCCTGTTGAAGGGGTGGAGGTTCCTCTTTAAGGAATTGAATGCATGAGAATCTTGAGGTTGATGAGAGTGCTAGAAGAAGTAAATATTTACCAGGATATCTCCCACTTCACTCGTATTGCCAGTTTTAAAAGTGTAAGATTATATTCCTTTCTGAATTGTTAGAATTCATTCTTGTTACAAAGCAATGAACACATTTTAAGGTATTTGAGTCCT